GGAACAAAGCCAGCCTGTAATATAATGGAAAGTACAAGGTGGCTGGAATTTGGCCACATCTACTAGGAAACATTGACAGGATTTGCTGATGCAATGGTTATGTTCTAAAAGAGGTCTTATTTCTTCAAAGGAATAGAATTTGGAACCATGTAGTTTTATTTCCCCTACAAGCCACATCCATGAAAATCATGCATGCACTAAAGCCTAAAATCTACATTCCAGCTAAGAACTGGATGGTTGAATTTTTCCCTTTTTCAAGGAACCCTCAGTCACTGTTGATAGTCTCATCAAATTTGAAATTCCAGATTCCACTGGAGTATATGCATAAACAGAGACTTCATTAACTTCTAATAGGTGAGCTTCAAGTGAGACCAGGAACTGATTCCTAATTGCAGGCCTGATATCCTGAGAGTTGTAAACCTTACAAATGACAAAGACTGTTTACTCCAGGATATTATTGACAACTTCTCCTTAGAAAATCATTTGCCTTATCACAGCAGTTATGGATAGAACTCATTCCCAGTGCCTCTTTCAGAAAAGCAACAATATTTATAACTGCCAGCTCATCCTTATTGAGTGCTTCCCACCAAGGATTGTGCTGTGCTTTATATTTATTACAAGGAACATAACAATGCTTGTGAGGAAATAGGTCTTCCCCCTTACTTTCCAGATAAGCAAACCAAGGCTTAGCAAAGTTAAGGAATTTACAAAGATGTCATGGTGCTTCAAAGTGCATAGAGGAGTGCCTGACTACAGAGCCCACATTTCTGGTCACTTCATCACAGTGATGTGGGTGCCTACAAGGCCAGTCTCACACAAGGGCAGGGTTCAGGAATACTTGCTGGCTAAATCAAGTATTAAGAGAAGGTTAATGAAGATGGTAAGGAAACAGAGGAGATAAAGCCAGGACTTAAGTTGTCTGTCTTTCTGTCTGATTCCGTTTACAAATTTACCTAGAACTTCTCACCTTACTAAATGCTACCAGAGTATTTCTCTTATATGGACCATCATTCATTGCTTCCAATCTTTCCTAGAGTTTTAATAGTATAAAACACTAGAGACCCAGTGCATGAATTGGTGCATGGGTGGGGTCCAAGAG